GGAAGAGCGATTAGCTCTGCCAAAAGCATAAACATACAATGAAAACTGAAAAAAAAGGAAGTCAAAATGCTGTATTTATTGTTTATTTATTTTATTGATAAAAAATTACTGTGTAATTACATAAACTTGGTTTATGTTATTTATTTATCATTACATTTAATGGTGATTTCATCCGTTTTATTTATATTTTGTTTGAATTTTACGGTCAAAAGCTGGTTAGAAGGGGTCACTTTCTTAACAAGTTGAAATGTTTTTTTCGGTATTTTTTCCCTTAAAATTCCCTATCATTTAAGATATAGGGACTTTAATTTGGATTGATTAGGGCATTGATTTACTTTTAGATGTTATTTAATTAATATAGCATCGTTTTCTTCAGTTGTATTATTGCATAAAAATGTAATTATACTATGTAATTGTACAATGTAATTATATAATTTAACTTAGGAACTTACATAATTACAATAACGGTCATTGACGCAAATGTAGTTGTTATTTTGATTTAATTATTACTACACAATGTTAAAATATAATATTATTGTATTTATTATTGTAGTTGAATAACTTACATAATATTGTAATGATTGTCGAAAAAACTATACTTATCGTAATTTAACATTTTTTTCTGGTTTAATGAGAAATGTTTATTAAATCCATGTTAACATCATAAAGTTAGGGAATTTTTTCAGCAAACTTATACTTATTCATTTCTGTCTAAAAAAAAACACCAGGGATTTGCCTTTTGAAACTGCTTGCGATTTTCGGAGCTAATGATACAATTTTCTAATAGTTCTCACAGAATACAATTTTAAATAACTTATTTTTAAAATTTGAGAAACCTTAGCTCTTTTCTACAGACAACTGTTAAACAATTAACATGACTTCTGGCATTGGATGCAAATATTTACTCAAACTGTTAGCTAAATCCAAATCCTAAACAACACGAAAAAGACTTATTTAAATGATATCTTTTTAGATTTTTAATGAACTAAGCTAGGACCTGCATAAAAGGGTAAAATCCAGAAGTATTTGGTGGATATTGAAAACTATGTGTATGTTTTCTTAAACTTCAATGTTTTAAAAAACATCTCTTATGAGACCTGTTTTTCTTCTTTTCCAGTAAAAAGACAAATTGCGCTTTTATAGATAAAATAAGGTAAAATTAAATAAATTCCGAAAAAATAAAATTTAGGAAATTAAATTTTGTGTAATTAGAGTGATTGGGAAATATGTGTTTCTCCGGGTTTTTTAATATATTCGTAGATACAAATTCACTTTAATATGAATTCAATAACGATGTTTACTGTTCAAAATAATTAAATAATACCCAGTTGACATAAATGTAAACCGAAAAGTATATAACATGTAACAAGCTTTTACAAACTGTTGCTTAATTAAAAATGCTTATTTTGCAAAATATTTCTATTTCTTACTTATAGTATAGCTTTAATTCTTACATTTTTATCTCAATTACAATTATCTCATTTGCTTTCAATATTTAAATTTTTATCTTAAATTTTTTCTCAATTTTTGAAATAATAAAAATTTGGAAGTACTTGCATGCGCAATATGATTTATGAGTATTTTTTAGACTACGTTTCAAATAAATCATTCTTTTAAGTTTCAGAACAATTATTTAAGGTTCGAAAAAATACTGTACCAACATCAAATTAATTAACTTTTTCCGTAGAGAAAATTGCAACTTTCTCTGAGATGACGCAATGTTTTCATAAACTTACAAAAATATTAATAAAGACTAAACTAAATTATGAAAAGAACTGAACCTCATATTTAAAAAATAAGAAAAAAAAACTTTTTTTCATTTGCGAAAATAGTTTTTTAAATCCTGGACGTCAAAGCTTCATTCAAAGAAAAAAAAATTCAACTTTCTGCATTTTTAAATAAGATTAAATGTAAAACCAAGAATAAATACCAAGAAAAATAATAAGAATAGGATCCCAACAAAGAAAGAGAAGAGGAAAAAACACAAAGAATCCCAGGATTACGCCTGATATTAAAAGCTGCCTTCTTAGATAAATAAATAAATCCTCCGATTTACACTCTAAGCTCTTTAATGGCTTAACGTAAACATTTAAATCTACAGAAACTGGAGTCGGAAAAAAAAACGAGAAACAGAAGAAAAAAAAGTTAACTTTCCATTTTTTTTTCAACTAATACAACGAGAAGAATGCTTTTTCAAAATGTGGTTTACCGTTTGAAAACCAAATGGCATTGAAGGAAAATTTTCAAAAAAGAGAGAAAGAAAAGAACGACTTTTACACCGCACGCCTCCCCCTGGACAGGCAGACAGACAGGAAAAGAATATAAATGTATCTATGTGTACCCAAACCTTATCGGGGCAACACAGGCATGAGGAAGACCAGGCTTGTGGTATTAATCCAAGAAAAGCCCCTGCTCTCTTAGGCCTTTTATCAGCTAGGCTACGCACAAAATTCGCGCATAAAAACCCTCCCGCTTTGCCCTCTCTCTCTCTCTCTCCCTCCTCACCGCCTGTTTCAACCATTCTTTCTCAGCAACGTTGACCACCCCCTTTCCCTTCTAGCTGCTCTTGAGCTTCTACCGAAAACAATCTCTTTTCCTCCAGTAAAAGTTTCTCAATCCTTCTCCCTAGCATCACTTTTCACCGCTGATACTTTCTGACTGTCCTCATCTTCTCTTTCCTCAAAAGGCATTGTCTGTACCTCTTTTGTTCTTAAATTTTTCCCTCCTCCTTGTACACTGCCTTGAAAACTCCCTAAAATCCTTAAAACTTTTGGGGGAAAAGCAGGAAGATTACTAAAAGCCACTGACAAGTTTTCCTAGAAGGGTTAAGGTTTTTTTTTTCTTTTTCTTGCTTCTTTCATTATTTGTTGTTAAGGCTGGCGTGTTGGCGGAATGAGTGTCATAGCTTTCCCTATCTGGCGACCGAATGCTGTGTTTCTGAGATTTTCTGTTTTGTTGTTTTCTTTACGACTTTAAAGTATTGTTGTATCATTACCTTTTTTTTCTGTTCATTCTTTTTCGGTGTGAAATCTCTTTTCGGGCTTAAATAAAATCTTTTTGCGTGGGAATCTGTCTTGGGTGATAAGACAGATAAATGGTGCAACTTTCGAAAACCAAATCTGGTTTTGGAAAATTTTTACGAAATCAAATAAGCTCTTAGGGGGATGAGATTTTTCTAAATACATTCTTATTAAGTTTGCAATAAGAAACAGCATTTTGAAAGCAAGTTTTATTTAAATGCTGTTTTTAAATCTTTCAAGAAAGAAAATTTCAGAATAGGAAATAAAATCTTTTGAAATGGGATACATTTGTTTCCGGAGCAAGAAAAATAAACTATAAACTATATGTTAAATAAATAATCCCAAGAAACTGAAGCGTTAAGATATGACTTGATTAAAAATTTCGTTCGGTTCTGATTTCGAGTAATAAGCAATGCAAAATATACAAATTGGAAATAACAGTCAATATGTTTGAAGCACTTAAAAACAAGCATCCATTTTCAAGACTTGCCAGAGGTGAGTAAAATGAAGCAAAAGTGATTTGAAATGCAAAGTTGCTAGCTTTGTTTTTCACCTTTATTGTTCGTTGGCAACTTTACGTCTAATATTTCAAGTCACTTGTCATTCACGTCTGGCAAGACTTGAAAATGGGCTCCCGATTTTGAGAGTTTGAAACCTGTTGATTTTTATTTCCAATTTGTAATATATTTGAAACAAATCAAATTTTTAATTAAGTAATATAAATTATATTTTCATAAAATTGACAACCGACTTCTAAGAAGTGGCGACGACAAACCAACGTTTAATTTCATTTTCTCAAAAATTGAAAACTTTTTGCGTATCATTTAAATCAACAAAACGATAATTAATAAATAAACTCTATACAATATTATTTGTTTAATAAAAAGAACTTATTTAAGCTATGTTAAGTAAGAAAGATGAGAGTTACTTTTTCATGTATATCATAGACATACGAGTAAAATTGCAATGATTAGCACAAAGCCGTCTCTGGCTTTTGTTTCTTTTAACACCGTTTTTAACTCAATTCAATAACGAAAGTTCTAAATTTTAATTTTTTTCTTATATTTCAAGCAAAATTTTGCAAAAATGTCGAAATGATTTATTTTTTTTAATCTCTCTGTGAAAGACTGTATTGTGACAGTGGCGTTCATGTCTGTGATAAATTAAGAATTATTCAGTTTTATATTACCATTCGACTTTATTCTTTAAAAACATAAAATAATAATTATATTTTAACAACATTGTGATTACTTTAGAAAACTAATGGAATTATCAAACGTATTGAATAAGAGGGGAGATCTTATTTTCATGATTTATTCTCCAGAAAGCAAGTCTTTAGTCAGATCTACTCCGTAAAAAGTTCAAATCATGGTAAAAGTTTCGGTGCCGGTGCTTTTTACCGGAACATGCTACTGAACAAAAAATCAGATATACAATAATTTTTACACTAATAATTATCGTAAAATCACTAAATCACTCGGAAAGTGGACTTTACGGAAGATGCACCCAAAGTGTCGATAATTTATACCATAATCAGATCTGGAACTCTTTGCAATGTACTCACTTTGCCTAGTAAGATGTTGAAAATCTAAATAAATTTTTAGATCATAATTCCGTATTTAACTGGGTTTTCTTCCTTCTTTAGAATTATGCTAAGGGTGTCATTGCAAAAATTTAATCCTTAATTTGATTCTCTCCATTCTCTCTTAATTTATTATTTTCCATGCAGACATAAAACAGTTAATACAATTAATCAATACGATACAATTAATACAATACAATAAGGCCATTCGAGATAGTTTACTTTTGTACCTTCAATCGTAAATCTAATTTTGAGTGACAATAAGCGCCATGCAATTATTTGTAGAGTTATGGTACAAGGGTTATAGTAGAGATATACAAGAGTTATAGTGTCATAGATATAGAGATGCTTAAGCTGTACAATATATTTTTTATAATTTTAATTTTGTTGTTGTTTAGGTGTGGTTTCAGAATAGAAGATCGAAAGAGCGGCGAATGAAACAGCTAAGTTCTATGGGTGCAAGAAGGCATTTCTTTCGCAGCCCCAGAAGAGCGATGCGACCACTTAGGCCGGGAATGTCACCTGATGGCCTTGATGACAGTCCGGACATGGTGTCCGGACCTAATTCTGGCTATTCTTACTTCTCAGGTAAGTGACCGATTTTAATCACTACTTTACTTACTTAATCAAGCATCCACTTCAGAAGCACTTAATACAAGTATATATGAGACTTTAGGTCTCATTTATTTTTGCTTATAGATCAAAGTACCATTAATTTAACACAAATTTTGCGTCATTTGATTTATGACATGCATGAAACCTTTACTATTTTTTTTTTCATCTGGAGCACTGGGCTTTATGCTTGACAGAAAAGTTTCAAAAATACTTACACTGTTAGAAATTTCTCGAAAAAATTGATTAAATAACAATTTATTGAATGGTTATTTTACCAAATTTAATCAAAACAGTCAAATAACCATGAATAAAATGGTAATAAAACTGTTAAGTTTGAGAAAAACTGTTTAGTAACTGTTTTCACCTAATACGGTTAAACAACCAGAATTTTATCTCACAATTAGAACAACCTAATCAAGCTACTTAGTTCCTTGCAAATGCGTACATATCATAGCCGAGCGGGCTTATATATCAATCTCATGACCACAGAAATAGAGTTCGAGTGCAGTGTAGATACCACACTATTTCATCCATTCCCTTCAACACATGAAGAATTTCCAGTGTCCGGCACTCTCCAGTGCCCATTACCATACGAAAAGCCGAGCTCTTTTGTCTAGTTAAATAATTAATTTTTTTTAAGTTTTTGAAAAATGCTAGTTGTAAATGGTAAAAAAGCCGTATAGTTTTGTATTCAGGGTTTTATAACCATACTTCTTGTAAATGGTTTCAAAACCATACGGGAAAAAAATGTTCTTTACCGTAAACTTTACGGTTAATCGAAAGGACAGACAGCTGCCAGTTATTTTACCATAATTTTAGAATGAAAATTTTAACGGTGTAGCTAAAATTGTTCTTTTTTTTTTCTTGTAATCCAAAAGGTTTATCTGCGTTCCTTTTTAAAACTAAAGATCAAACAGTCAAATGTAATCGATTTGTTTGAGGGCACAATAATTCTCACGAAACTTTTTAATTGTGAATAATTTTGATTTCTTTCTCGTTAGAATAATTTTTTCAAAGTAATTTATGTTGTTTAAATAAAGTACAATGAATTATTGTGTTACTATAAGTATATAAAAGTTTCAAGAATTGTAAATTTACGATGCACTAAAAAAAGTAGTGAATTGAATTTCAAAAGATGGAGAAAAAAAAGTTTATTTATTTTTTATACGCGTATTTTGTTTAATTATTTAAGAAATTAAATCAAATATGCTAATCATCCTGTCAAAAATCAAACATAATTACGAGTGAAAACCAATGTGTGACCATAATAATATGCATATAAATAATATAAAGTGTGAAAAAAAAATCTGTAGGGAAAAATAGGCAAAAAGGCAAATAGGCAAATAGGCAAAAAGTTCTACGTAAAATCTTTTCAAAATAACGATTTTAATGATTTTAATTCAGTGATCCTATTTAAAAATGTATAATACACTTAAAAAAAGTATATTTAATTTTCATTCATGGAAACACTACTCGAAGGGTTTTAAAACCTCTTTTTGATTTAACGCCATTTAATATTTTCCTGTTAACTTACTTTAACTGATTAAAATCAATAATTCATGAAGAAGCATAAAATTAAAAATTTGTCACGTGAGCTTAAAAGGGAATAGTAATATAACTTATACAGATCTAATTTACTTTTTAAATTTTATCTAAAGCAATTGAATAGTTACAACTAAATAGCAAACATAATAGCATGAACAAATTATAAGTACTAAATTAACGTAATTATAAAGCTGACAAGGAAAGATTTTCTCAAACATTTCGCCACTTTCTGTAAAAATGTAACTACTAACTTTACCCTCAAGTTTGTAAGCTACTCCTACGCTTAATAGAAGCAGAAGATCTTGTACAGCGCTCAACTGCATAAAAATAAAAACATTCGACAACAAAACCCCAAACACAAACTAAATCGTCATTCATTCCGAATCATGTCAGTCATGTGTCTACCAGGCCGATGACAAAATGATGGTTGGGGTCGTTAATTATGGTCGTCGACGTTCACGCTCTCTGATCCCGATAAACACAAGCAATTGACTTCACTTCACTGCCAGCGTAGATTAACCGAAAATAATACTGGAAAAATCGTTTTCTTTTTCGTGCTGCTGCTGTCTTTAGTTGTTATCATCTGCAACGAACCAGATAAAAGTACCAGCTGAGCATTTACCATTAAATTCCTTTCGCCAAAACAAGTGGTAACACTTTTGCGAAAAATCTTCTTTGTCTTAAAAGGGGGATGGTCTTTTAGATCAGTTTAAAAGCATCTCTTACTAAGTGTGGGTTCGAGTGGTGTTTTTTGAGACAATGATCTATATTTATTGAAACCAACGAACTACGAATATGATTTCTATGAACCATATAGTGAGGATAAATTGGAGCTTATGTTTTGCCTTTTGCTTGTTTTAGGATAAAAATGATGGGTTATTATACGGATGCCGCACGCGCCAATGTTTTTAAGTACTTTATTTTCTTTGATTTTTTCTTCTTTTTTTTTATCTTTTTACGTAAAACTGTATTTTCTTTCAGTTTTGGTATAAAAAAATTTTTTAAAAAGGTAAGAAATACATTAAATATGCTCTCAGCAGAAAAAAAGTAACAAATATAATAAATATGCTATCAGCAGAAAAAAAGTATTTCGTCTACCGTAAAATTCTGTCCATGAAAGAACATGCTCCATTATGCAAGGATGCAAAAAATGCCTTTACAAAAAAAGAAAAAGAAAAAAAAAAAGAAGAAGAAAAATGTATGGCTTTTTTTTTTCTTTTTAAATTTGTATGTCAGATGTACCGTTTAGTTCTATCGAATACTTCCGTTACAAATTTGAAAATGCATGCACATACTCTTAAGCGCCACATATGCCATGCCTCGTTCAGCTGGAACATTTTATTTTATGACAGTCGTTGAACAGCAGACCCAATTTTTCGGGTTTACGACTACTAATGTTCAACTCCGTAGCCTTGTAATTTTGAACCATATTCAAAAGACAAGGGAACTCCTGGATCAAGTATTGGGAGAAATTTGCCTTCTTGGAGGACTTTTTGATGGAACTAACCAGCATTTGCATTACAAGGAGAGAAAGATCACGAGGCCCTCCCACGGTAAGCCTGATTTCAAGGAGACTCCAACTCATGATCAGTCTACCACTAAGGATATTTTACGTCAACAAACAGTCGGTGCCAGCCGGATGCGAGATTAGTATCGACCAGCCATCGCCGGGATTCGAACCCGGTTCACCTAATTGGAAGGCGAACACTCTATCCCCTGAACTATCACGACTCTATCTAGCTAGAACATTACCAAAGAGTTAAAGAGTAAATACCATACCACTTTGTCTTATAAAAGAACGTTTTGCATTACTGTAAAAAATAGACGTGTACTTTCGCTGACAGAACTTTCCTGTAGATCTGATATCAATAAACTTATTTGCTTTAGACCTTGATGTACTAGACTGCAATTTTTAAATTCCTCATAACAGGCTGGTGAAATATTAAATTACAATTTCTTTTTTTAATGAGTAAAAATTAATGCATGTCTAAGCTTTACTTCTTCAGATCTTTTTCTATTTTAATGTCTATTAAGTTATTCAAAACAAATTGAAAGCGGCAAAAATACTGCTCAATGACCATACAACTTTTGAAAGCTAGTTAGAAAGGAATCAAAGAATATTAGAACAACCATTGTTCAACTCTTCTTACACAAATATAAAATAGACAGATGGTGGTCTTGTATTAAAATCAAATTTATAGATGAATAAGAATTTTAATTCCCAATTCAGCTATACAGTATGTGTAAAGTAGTTTCATCTAATAGCTGTCCAGCTGTCATCTAATTGCTCTTTGTTACTTAACACCAATTTATGGCTTTATTCATGACGCTTTTTTTTTTTTTTTTTTTAAAAATTAATAACGAACGCTGACTCCGCTTTTTAAACTATTTGAAATAGGAATTAAAACAATTGATTTTTAATTAATCTTAGTCATTCTGAAATTAAAAAGTATCGGTATTAATTAAGTCCATTAAAAGTACAGAGCTAACAACAAGCACTTTTCTTCTAATCCCGATCCTTGCTGACAAAAGTAGTAAATCAGTAAAAATGTACTCTTATTAAAAGGCACTAAAGCATGTATCAACTAACGAAAAACAAACAGTGAGCTTAAAAGCTACTAATGCACCACAGATTCAAATGAAAGTTAAGTGTCGAGGTCAGTACAAACATAAAAAAAATCGTTCAATTTAAAAGGGAGAATGTTGTAATGGGTGGGAGAGCGTACGAAATAAAAAAAGATGAACAGGCAAAAACACTGCAGAAGTGGACCCCCTGTCGAGTACACAAACGCTTATTATAGCAACTCCCCATGCATTATCCCCGTAACTCTCGTAAATCGTATTTTGCAACATCATTTCGCTCTCCACCTCCCTCTGTGTAACAAAACTTGGGGGTGTTCATAAGTGCCCCTTGTTTTCACAATCGGGGAACACTTGGTTTTAGACCCTTTTCAAAAAATCTCCGTTTTTTTGTTCCCTATTTCGTACGCCTACCAGATGGTGAGCCTCTCTCTGACTTTTGTAAGCATCCAAAGCTTACATTTTGAGTGTTTTTTTTTCCCTTTAAAATTTCAAAAACATCATGTTTTTTTTTATTTGATCATTGTAAAAAAAAAATTCAATAAAATCTGGTGAATCATGGAGAAAAAAATTTTTTTTTTAAAAAAAGCATATTTCCAGTATTGTACTCATTTTAAATGTTGATGTGGATTTTAATAATAATTTTGAAAGCTGCCTCGTTTAATATATAATGCATTTCAGACAGTTTTAAATTATGCATTCCATGCAATTTTAGTTAAATTGCGTGGAAAACGCATTTCGTGCAATCTTAAAAGAAGCATTTCTAGCAATTTAAATTTTAAAGTATACCTACACTTTAAAAAGATACCTGACTTTAAAAAACTACGGTAAAAAGTACCGACATCCTT